AATGAGAGTTAGGTTTGTTTTATCTCAAATTATGGAATGTAATCAAGCACATATTTATAACCATGYCTAAATGTGAGTCATTTAAATACATTAATAAAACATAGGTTAGGGTTAGTGGGAGTGAAACATGGCTGGCTGCAGGGGTTTCATGCATGCTAGCTTCTTTGTACTTCTTTTGTATTTGAAGACTCTCAAATCAAACCAGTGTTGTTTTGGATTCATATTGAACAAGCTGTGTTACACTATTGATGGATTTGGCAAACCTATAAAGTGTCATTTCAAGGTGCTCTGGAAGCCTCCAGCTCCTGCACACGCCCCCACACACTTAAAAACACATGAAAACCTCTTTTAAAGCATAAACTCAGTGTTTAGATTGAAGCCAATCTTTTATCACATTATTTTTCTTTTCCTGTTACTCTATTTCTCATTTAGTTTAGTTTTGCATCAATTTTCCTGTGAATATGGTATGGGTATTTTATAGTGCTGTCTAAAAAGTTACTCTATCATGATAATATCTGATTGTTTTGGATATCTAACAATATAGAATGGCTTACCAATCCCTGTGTAAACACTTTCAAGTCCTTAGAATAGCCCTGAAAAAAAGACAKAYGGTTAGTTCTCACTGTTGTTGCATTCTGGTGGTAGCTTAGCCTGAGTTTCATCCAGCGTTTACTYGTAACAAATACCATTTGAGAWACAATGCATGATTTCAYGTTCTCTGAGGTTGCCATCTCAGAAAACTAAATGGATCGAGTATTTGTTTCACTTTATTACCTAGTTATTGAAATACTTGCAAAGCAAGGTCCTAACGATAAATTTACAATTTAAGAGAAAATACTTACAAAAAAACTGTGTAACAATGGTGAACTACTTGATACTAAGAGATGACAATACTGACTAAAATATTCAAAGAAGAGCACTAACTGAATGAAAGACAGCTATTTTTTCACAAAGGACTGAGCTTTGTGTGTGACTACTGAGGCAAAATTCGCAAATCAGCTTTTTTGACTTAAAAAACTCATACATAATTAATGAGTTATCAGGCCAATAGAATGAGCCTATTCGGGCACATGCATGGACCTTTATATTTATATTATTATTATTATTATTATAAAACACTCCTTATTAGTATTCTTTATTATAAAGAATAAAGAATAATAAAGAATACTAATAAGGGTGACCTTTATCAGATATAAAGATCCATGACCCTAGCAAAGGTCTCAGGATTAATTCCTGATCATTGACCAATGCAGGATGTCAACCAATAGCAGTTAAACAGCCATCAGCACTTCTATTTTGCTTTATGCGTATTCAATGTGGGATGACAAGAGTGCTTTGTAAAGTGATTCGCGCATGATCAGTTTGCCCCATTTATCTCAAAACTTCTTTTTACATTAACTCCAACACTAATTTGAAACTCAAACCATTAAAATTCTTGGAGAAATTGCTGTAAAAAGGAGTTTTTTAAACTATACTCAGAGCCCGGTAAAAGTCTGATTGTTTCTGAGGCAGAGTCTGCAGAGCTGCRGCAAGTACAGCTGAAAGGCAGTGTAGTATTAGTGTAATGTGTCAAATAGCACAGAGGTCAATCATACATTTGTAATCCCATGCAAGTGTTAATGAGACAACAATTGCTTTCTTCTACTGAAAGAAAARCAATCTCACTGGATACATGGAAATCAAAACTTTTAAATCTATGTGACACTCTCTTAGACTTCTCAGCAGACAACTTTTCAATCTTTAAATTCAACGATTGCGACTGATTTGAATCAAYTGTTATTGCACAAATACTATACTGTGAACAGCCCCCCCCCTTCCCCCCACCAAGTAATTTAGCCGCCATTTTCAAAACATTTGTCTAATTCATCTGGTGCTTCACGAAAGCTGTTCAGTTCCGATTTAGCCCCCCAATAAAAGTTATGATGCGCGGTGCCTTGTGAAAACCAAAATGTTTAAGAATATAAGAAATGTTTTTGCAMATTTTATTGCAACTGTTTCATGTTGTTTATACCTTTTTAGTTAGGTTGAAAATATGTCTTGCCAAACCTTCAGCAATAAAATTAATGTTTCTTTCTAGCTTTTTATCATCATGCCATCTGCAAAACAATCAAAACGTCATGTTTTAATAATAAATGTAACTTTCTTAATTTATTGGTAGATGTGCCTAAAATGTCACTTGATATTAAGATTACAGTCAGGGAATAATATAAAAATTATAGGAAAAACAATGAAATATCACTCAAATAATATTCATCTTTTAATTACCTTCAATTTAAATGTATATTTTAACTAAGAAAAGTGCAGAGAAACTCTCACACCTTTCAATGATGCTTCTACTGAATATTTTCTATATTTTTTTATATTCTATTTTATTTCTTTTGCTGCAATGTTTTTTGTTTTTGCTTGCAGTTGTACATAAGTTGCTTGAAAAAAAACAACAACATACAAACAAACCAACAACTTTCTCCACTTTTTTTTGAAGAGAAAGAACAAACACAGGGTGATTGTAGATGTAATTACCTTATATCAAACATGGATCTTCTTGCAGATGATGTAGGGTCCTCAAAATGAGACAATGTTCCCGCTGGCAAGCGTTGAGTGTGTATGGAAAAACGTTCATGCTCCCATGAGAGCATCTCTTCAGCAAGATTTATTTTTTTATGAATGATTGAAAAATTAAGCTGTGAAAATAGTGTTGAAGCAACCTACAAAATATGCATTTTCAAGTTAGTAACATAAACTTATTACGGAACATTAAAATTGAAATATTCAATCATTGTTAGTAAATGTTCCCTAATGATTTGTGACATGCCTATATGATGGTGATTGTGAACTGGACATTGCATGGGTTCACACTAGGTCCTAAAGTACAACTAAATTTCATATACACAAAGTGCCTACTTTAGCTTTGACTACTTCAAGAGTCTTACAATACCGAGAGGTTCACATGAAGTAACTATTAGTATAATAGGCATTATTATATAGCTCAGATGTAACACACGATTTCATTGGCTAAAAAGCGGGCCATACTTTCCCGTACAGAGCAGATGAAACGAGAAAAAAATGTTTTTTATCTTAAAAAGGCTCGCTTTCTCTCTTTTTGTAATTGTACTGTATAAAAAAGAGTCAAAAATGAATCCAAATTTTGCCATCAAGGTTCTCAGCCTTTTCTTTTTTCCTTGTATTTTGAATGATAAGAAAAGTACGAACACTGAAAACGTATTTTTATGTCCGATTTTCTATTAATTTTACTATTTTTCCCTGAAAATGCTATATAATAAATATCTTATTAACCTCGCTTGCTCGAGCCGTACGGGAAGTTATGRAACCTAGTTTTTTCCTACTTTTTACAGGAAAACCCTGTCATGAGATAAAGCACATAGAAATAAATTTTATAAAATTTTATAAAATGCCAATCATTAGGAAATGGAAATACGTATTTTAACAAAACCTATACCTGACAAAGCTTTACCCTGCAAAGCATTAGCTTTGTACAGCATTAACAAACCCTTTAATCAGTAAAMTTTAGATTTATTTAAAAAGGTCTAGTATTTCAAATATAATAGATTTTYCTCACTGGAGTATAATGGTAAATTATATTGACTAGTGAGGTTGAAACCCAACAAGCAGCATCTGTCAATTAGTGCTCAATTTCTAATACAAAATGGACARTGACAATGAGAGCCTATCATGACCTGAACCAATGAGCTGGTTGAAAAATAAGAAATGAATAATATATGTTTGCTTTAGATTTTCAACCATAAAATTAGCAATTTAATAAAATAATTAAAATAACAATGCTTACCATCTTGAATTCCTTAAAAATAAAAGAAAAATCATGTTACAAAAGTTAGCTAAACTACAGGCMATAGACTACAATAAAACCCCACTTGTTTTCAATTATTCCAATGAGATTCAGAATTCAGAATGCTGTATTTCATTGAAAAGAACATAAAGYGATTGAATTAATATTTGAAAAAGGTTCTTAAAATTGAGGAAACAATTATTGTGTAAAAACATAAATTTAAAACTACTGTAAACAATTGGTGAAACAACTTACTGACGTTTCAGACGTTAATCCTTTGTCGGAATACAGAGATAAAACTAGGCTAAGTGAGAGTTTATAATATAATGTTTATATTTTAATTGATCTTTTTACACAACTATTTCTTTAGAAACACTGAATGATGCAGTTCACACTAGTTTACCRCTAGTTTGGACCACCTTAAATTTAAGAGAAGAGTAGGGATGGAAAATTGGASTGCATGTGGTCTCCTCGATCCCCTAACATTAAGCTGTCGCAGCCCTAACAGGCTTTTTGAATAGTTAGGGAAGGGAAGTCATATAACCACCTCTAKCCCAGCCTACTCAATCAGGATYCCCATTGAYATCTACATTGTATATCATAGGTTGTAGGAACAGTTACCTCTATTAGGTCGTATGCTCTTGTCCCTTCTTTTGGTGGTTTAGAAACGTGTAGAAATAAATTATCTCCTTGACTCAGACTATCCAGACACAAAACAAAATCAACTTCATTCAAAGCACTTTGCTCTGCAACAAAACAACATGGCTTTGGTTAAATATTATACATTGATTTTGTCATACAAAAAATGACATTAAAAATGACAATTATCAAGATGATATTTACCAGGATTATCAATACTATCTTCCAACCATTTCTTTGTTCCTTGATAATTAAACTTGCCTCCTCCAGATAGAAAGAACACTAAGTGATATCTTGGTGGTAACTTGTTAAGGATACATACTTTAAACCTGGTCCAGAGTAGAAAGATGGAAGCCAGGAATACTGTTTGACCATACAAGGTCTACATGGTGTGATCATCATGCCACCCCCTTTATGTGAATTAAAAACTGATTGAAATAGATTGGTTTTATTCTGTCTTCATGTAGGATTTCATGTTTTTATCAAATCATTAATAATTCATAAGCAAGAGAAATTACATGAGATTTGTCCTTATTTGCATACGACTTTAATGTCTTGATTGTCTCTTAAAAATATTTTATCACTTGCAGCTCTCAGTTTTAAATGCCCATACCTGGGGGGGGGACTCCCTTATAAAAGATGGTAGGTATGAAGAAGGTAAAAATTGAAGAAAAACTTGAGCTTTTCTCTTGTTAAAGACGTCAAATATGGTCGTACATTTTATGGTCTGGAATCAATACCTGAATTTTTAGTAATATTTATGTGTACCTTTTAGGGTCATTTTTCAATCCACCCATCAAGCATTCCTACCAACTTTTAAAAGGGAATCCCCCTAGGATTATATATAATTTTGAATACATGCAGTATTCCTGTACTTATTGTTCTCCAATTCATGTGGCATCTGAAAGTCAAACGTTATTCAAAATCTGTTTCTCCTACTTATGTCAATGCTATGCATAATTCATATGATCAGAAATTTATACTACTGGATTGGAGAAATACTTTCTAGCTCTGTTATATGATTTCAAATCAGACTTGCTAAAAAGTTTCAAGTAATTACTAATAGATGATATTTATCAGACCAGTGGAATGAATGATAACCTAATTAATGGATAATTGAAGAGTTTGAGAAGATAGTATTAGTTTAGTCTTGAGAAATTAGTTAATTACTAGAATAGAGAATACAAAATTGACCCCCTAACTAAATGTATATTATCAACCTGATTATTATTTGTGTTCTTTTGTCCCAGCCTTCCCTTTCCCTGCTTAGAAAGCACTCCCAATAGTTTCTAATTKATACCAAGAAATATAAGGCATGTGAACCAAATCCTGATATTTTGTTTATCCATCTTGTGAATTMCAAAAATATAATTAATGKAAGGATACTTTGCATGACTTTGCAAATCTGTGTATAACCTAGAAGCAATTTAATGCAAGATTGTAAGTTGAGAATATTTTAATATTAAAATATTGCATGAGRCCTATATAAAAAACTACAATCCCAGACTGAAGCAAACCTATACCAGCAAACATGTTACTCTTACACATAGTACATGGTATTTACAGAAGCAGAAGATAAAAAGMCTAGTCACAGCACAACTCAAGACAAGTAGGGTGTTTAGTGAAAACTACACCAGTCCTGCACTCTTTTAATAAATTTCCTCACAATTGATTGCTTACAAAATCTCTAGTAAACAATAATTAAAACAACTCAATTATAAAAGTTATAAAGTTTAATCTAAAAGCACCMAGTACATGTAAGTAACGTACCTGGAAAAAACTCTTGCAAGTTCTAACAATGCAACAACACCACTTGCATTTGAATCTGATCCATTAGCAAGACTCTAAGATATTTAATGAAATGCTAATTATAACTTTTACATTTTACATAAAACCAATATGATCTTGTATTCCCTGTATTTCCCTGACAATGAAAAATGGATGATAAATTACTTACAGGTACCATGCCAAAAGTGTCGTAATGAGCCACTATTGCTATCGTTGGAAGATTCTCATCAACACCCATTCCAGCCAGTTTACCCTGATATTACAAGAAGTAGATTGAAATATCAATAGCCTGTTAATTATATATGAATGATCATATTTACTATAAAATTTATTACGACAAGAAAACCTGTCATTATATTATTATTTCACATTTACAATATGACTTTATTATAAACTTGCAGAATGGAAACAAAAAGAAAGCTATTAATTTCAAGAAAACAAT